AAAGATCATTTTTCGAAATTATGTGTTGATGCTATATTACAAATACATGTAAATATCTTCATTTAATTTAATCAAAAAAGTAAAAATTATCTTTTTTTTAGGATAAAACTGATTTACAAGGTATTTAAATAATAAAACTTTTAGAAAATAATCTTAATGATTCATACCTTGAAGAAGGTAAGAAAATATTTATTTTAATTAATCAAAAAATAAAATTTGTATTTTTTTATTTTTTTTTTCAAGTTTTCTATTAGAAAAACGTATTGGTATGAATATGCCGAAACGTATTGAAAATTCTCGTATTTTAATTGCAAATACATCAATGGATACAGATAAAATAAAAATATCTGATTCATCTGTGCGTATTGATTCAATTGCTAAACTAGTTGAATTATAATTAGCTAAAAAAGAAAAAATGAAAGATAAAGTTGAAAAAATTCTTTAATTTAATTGTAATGTTTTTATTAATCGGTAGAAAAAAATGAAAATTATTTTATTTATATAAAAAGTTTAATCTTTCTAGATAATTAATTTATGATTATCCCAATTGAATATCTAAAAAGCAATCATGTGTCACAATATGTCAAGATATATGCATTATAGTGTATAAACTGATGTATATATATCTAATTCAAAACGATATGTGACACTTGATGATCTTTCTTCATTCAACCTACGCATACTTTACGGAATTTACCAATTTATTCAGAAATTCCATCTGTTATAGTTGATTATCTTGATTATAATTTGAAATCAATCCACATTCGCATGTTTTCAACAATGAATGGTATACCATCGATGATAACAACTATTTAATTCTACCGGAAAAGAGAATGCTGCACAAATAGGCGCATGTTTATTTATAAACAAAAAGAAAACAAAACTCAAATTTTCATATTTCATTTCGTTTTGCGTTTTTAGTCATCATTAATACAAAATGTAAATATTCGTACATTAATCAAGGATTCCAACATATAATCTTGGTCGAATACAACAACAATCTGAACATATTAATGATAAAATTGCATTTACATTTACTAACTTATCATTATCGAATCTTTGTCAAAAGGTTTTTATTTTTCAAAACAAAAAACAATTAATATTTACGTTTGTGATATTTTAGACACAAGAATTAAAAGTGTTTAAATAATGATTCACACTCATGGAAATAGATTGTACAATATTTAGCTATAAAGCGTGTTTCTTTTTGATACAGGTGTAAATGAAACACATTGAAATATAACATTCTTGCAATGGTTTGTACAAAACAAAAGAAAATACAGTGTTTGGATGCATTAAATTTACCCGACGGAAGACATTGCACACTTTGTGAGATGTTCTCAATCTCTACACATTTCAAAATGGACGAGAAGTTATTGTAACTCGGACAACTTGCTAACGATAAGAGATATTGAAAAACGAATTCAATCAACTATTAGCCAAGTTCGTGACACCTTGAAGTCATAGTATTTAAATATGTATTCGATAGAGAAAATTGTACGCTTTCGAGCTATGGAAGCTTGCACTGTTGAAGAGCTCTAATGGTTTGTCAAAGACCTTCGATTTCAGCCACTTGACTATGGATTAGTCAAAAGATAGATCTATAAATGATTAATTTGCCATGTTGAGTCTATTAGTGGTATTAGTTTTCAGTTTTAACAACAATCCACCATAACTATATCCAGATTTTTCAATTTCGGCTTTTTCCACTATATAACGTCAATAGCTAATGTTTTGAAAACCTGTATATAATAATGGTGGTAGATCGTTTTCGATTCAGCATGGTCAATTACTGCTCTCTAGGCCTAGTTGTTGAGTTAAGTTTCGGTAGTTCGAAATTGAACAATTTTCTCTACGGAATATATATTTTAAAATTTTGAATTCACTACTTGAGTCTCTAGTTTTCTAAAGACTCACTTAATCGTTCTTTAGGAATCCGATTGGAGAAAACTTGTCTGCTGTAGATCGATATGCCACAAACTTAGCTAAAATTAGATCGAAACCAATTTACAATATTTCCTATCGTTCGCAAATTATCCAACTTATCGTCTCACCCCACTTTCTATTTT